TTTTGACATCCTAATCCTGAAGATTGAAAAAACGAGCTTCAACGATTAAGTTAACTACAAATAAAGGCACAACCAAAAAAATTGGTAAATTTTCAAGTTTTTCAAGAATCTGCACATCAAGCAGAACTTGAATGATTCCAAGGTCATATAAAACTAGGTGAAAAATTTTACTTCCACGGAGCACACATAAGATTAACTTACGATCTGCGTGACAAAAAATTGGATACCACACATTGGAATAAAGACATGTTCTAATTGTAAAGCAGATACAAAAAACAAAGGATGACAAAAAATAATGTTTTTTGATTGAAAAATTCATTTAGAAAATATACAACTAACACGAGATTTAAAAGACGACACAAAAATTTATCAAGGAATACGATTATTTTGCAAAAAAGACCAAGGTTTTTGCGACCCAACAACACGAACAATTGTTGTAACTATTGTTTGGTTCCACGAAGACACATGTACCACATTTCAAGTTGCAAGAATTCAAGCAAGAATGACAAAACTTCATCAGAAAAATTTTATTGAATGAATCCCTTATGATAAATGATAAAGTAAACCTTGATAAAATCCGACAAAACAGAAATCGTTATAACAATATCAATGGAATAGAAAATAAATTGACAGGTTTTCAAATTGACCCCAAAACAGAATTCGCTTGCAAATATAAAACTCCAATTTATAAAACACAGTACCCAGAAACTCTTGTCGAATACGAAAAAATTTTTGACATGAAAATAGGAAAATTAAAAAGTAACCCATATCCAATGTATCACAAAAAAAATGACGAAAACTCATACATCCCAGTAACATTTTTGAAAAACTCAGGAGGAAATACTAGTGGAAAACTTCGCCCACAAGGCAAAGGTAGTACACGTTTACAAGAACTATCACTCATGAACAATACGTATTTTGATGCAATTCACTATGACGTCCACTTAGACATGAAATTGGATTACGCAATAAGCAGAAATTTTAAGAAATGTCACTATCAGAATTAGAAACGCTTCATCCCTTATGTGAACTTGAATGAACACAAATTTTACAATCACTCGCGCTCGCAGTATTAAAAATACTTTACGCAGGATATTTATTATCAAGCATTAGATCAAGTTTTATAGATTACGAAGGAAGTATTTTATGGTATTACACATGTACAAAAAAAGTATCACTATTATATGTTTTTGAAGATAAAAGATGTTAAAAAAGAACCTCTATATTGTACGAAAATATAGTAGATTTTGTTGACACACTTTCTAGACGAAATATATTTTTGGGATGAAGGCGTCCCATGTGCATCTGAAAATAGCCACAATGTTGTACAGCTAATTCCAGATGAAGATAATTACTATCTTCTTGCACCATAACTTAGACCTATGCCACCACTAAAGAAATTTTTACCAGAAAGTATCAGAGCTATTGCTAGAAACCCAAATATAAATTTATAATCAATAGATAAATACTCCAGATTCGAAATACAACATCATATTCGCACACAACAATTTCAAGAACTCCTTCCAAATCTGGATACAATACAAAGACAATCCATAGAATAAAATTTAAGAAATCTTGCAGAAACCGCAGGATTTTCAGACATCTATGCACAAGACTACAGTGGATACTTCAAAGATATAAAAGGTTACATCTATTTAAGCGGTGAAAAAAACCGCCTACAAGATATTTCACCTATAAATAGTTTTAGTTTTGTAAACGTAAAAAACGAACATCTCGCTTTCTAGGATGGCCCTATTACATCTTTGAAAGAGTGACTATATTATACGCAATGTTTATTTTTTGTGGATTTCTCTTCTCATAATTGAAAGGAATCTATAACACACGCGCAATAGACACACAGGTAATCAAACAAGCAAATGTAGCACGCATAAAATTCATAAGATTTTTTGGTATATTTTCAACCTCAATCAACAAAATTTATTTAGACAAATAAGTAAATACAATTCATCACTTATTGCAAACCATTACCTCCTCCAATTGTTCCAAGCCACCATCCACAATTGAAGAAACCCGAGCCCACCGAATTATTAAAAGAAAGCATCCCAATACCCCAAAGCTTCCCAACCCCCGACCTCCTCGAATGTTTTCCGTTCACCACTCCACACAAACATTCATGAGTTTTTACAAACGTGCTTACCATACTTTCCACAATATACTTACTATAAGACCACTAACAACGATCAATGAACTTACGTTGTCGAATATAACCTGTTTCCCACACTTTTATGGGTATCAACATACCATTTCACTAACCCATTATCACTTCCATTATACAATAACCAGGAAGACAATGAATTATGTCAAACTCGGTTACACCACCTAACCACATCACTTCATGAAAAGCAATTCACAACCATAGGACTAACGCAAACATTAAAAAAGTTTGTTGCACAGAAAGCAAACAGATTCTCAATTAACCACTATGATCACGCTATTGCACGTTATATGGAAGATACATTTTTAGAAGACAACGAAAATACAAATCCCCAATTAACTGAGAAATTTTTCATAAAATCACAATATCAATTTTTCCTTAACTGCATGAAAAAAAATATGATAATACTATTTCCTCAGCACTTCGCGTCACCAAAGCCTACGATTTATCTGAATAAATTTAATCATTTCTCACTAATTTTCAATTTCCTCGCACCGAAAGAACTTGACTTACACTGTTCACATCAAATAATGTTACCCACTAAACAAACTCACACATACACTTATTATAAACTTACTCGACACCACTATATAATTAATACACCATAACAAAACTCACAACACCGATTCACATTTATTAACTCTAATTATACTTCACCATTCTTCCTGAACTTCACCTACTGTATAAAAGACACTAATATGCGAGGCATCATCCAAAACTACGACTCCATAAAACAAAAGTATTTTTTCTGCCCACTAACCAAATAATTTAACGTCGAAAAATCTCGCCCACTAATTGTCCCCAACGAATATATACAGCCCGTCGAAATCCAAATCTTAGAATTTTTTCATAACACTAAAAATAACCAAAGCTTTATAACCTAATTCAAAACACACTGCATGAAATCTCTAATTAGTGAAGAGCACAAGATCACCAGAGCACTCGAGCTTCTATGGCCTCTACGTCATCCGCTTGCTTGCTAAACTCTTAACATCATCCGACACAATTCACACTGTTTTTCCAAATTGATTTTTTGCCGACGATGACCCGTAGTAAGTACAACTAAATATTTTTAAATAATAAATTTCAAAAACAACTAACCATTCTTTATATATGTCTCAATTTTCTTTTTTAGATTTCACCACTTAATAATCTAAAAACAGATTTAAAAAATGAAAAAATGTAAACTCTAAAGCAGTAAAGTTTACCTTAAGGCAGCAGTAATTTCGAAAGTTTCAACCCCCATAGCAGTAAAATTAATAATTCTATGTAGTAATTTCATAAAAATTCACACATTCTTTCCACAATTGCACAGCTCGCCCATGACGAATTGTGTAAATAATGAATTTTAAGTTTTAATTTTCACTGATAACAACTCTAACTTGTTTTCACACGTTTCAAATCTTCCTTTAACCCGGTTGGAAAGAAATACATAATAAACTAAACCAACCAACGCACTAATGTCACGAAACCACAAACTAATAGCTTGACTAAGAAAGAAAATCCCGCGGTACCCAAACCAGATTAAAACCAGATTAAAACCGGATAAATTATTCTTTTAAAAACCACTTTCAAGTTTTACTAAAATAAAAGAAATTACAAAAAAGTCGAAAGACAAATTTTTTAGAAAAGGACACAAACAAAACAAAACAGAGAAAAACAAGAATTAAAAATGTAACAAAAGGTTGAACGAATAAAGAGACTCTGCACAAAAAGACCAAAAAAAAATGTAGCCCACTCCTGGCTTCACCAACGAGAGGGACGTCCTGAGCATGCTCTATAGCTGGCCTTACCCACCGCAATACAACCACGCTTTGTGACCCTCACTATTTTTTGCCGAGATTTGCTCTAGTGTGACCTAACTAAATTAAAACGTTTTTCGGATAAAAATAATAACAAATCATACCTAAAACTTAACTAACAAAAAGTAATTATATATGTAAAACATAAATACCATATGTAAAGATTTCTTAGAGCCCAAGAAACGAGCAGCAAAGGAGATGATAATCCAACTACACTCCACCTCTGGAAAGGGAAATCTATTCGATTTGATGCCAAAAGTTGTTACCTTTAAAGTTGTTACTTTTAAGTTTGGACTCAACATCGCAGCAAAGCAAAACCATTGAACCAGACCAATGGCCATCTCGATGTTGACTACACGTACCGATCCTAGTAACTTGGCACTTCACACGGAAAAGTCAAACTTCACCCTGCACGTAGTCTCGCTCTAAACTTAACAAAATCGATTCATCATTTCATCGATCAGAAGTCTTGACACAATCACCCAAGACCACCTCGACCAACGCGACCCATCTTGAAACACGAACGAAACAATTTTCCTCCGTCTAACAAAAACAACCACACTTCTCCTCTCTCCAAGAAGTCAATCCTCGCAACTTCTAAAAGAAACTACAAAACCCGTCCTTCTCTGCATTAAACAATTAAAAACTAAAAATTATTGATAAATTATTACTATGAAATATTACTAACTAACCAATCATATTCAATCTCTAACATTGACACTTAATTGTAATTGCTGAAACTGCTTGTAGTTTCAGCACCAGAACAATTTGAATAAAACTTTGAATACACTTGTTCTCCTTCTGGATAAACTCCAAGAACTAACTCGCATAAACCAGTATTCACTAGATCTATTGAGACGAGGAGTTATAACAGTAAGATTAAGATCGATATTAGACTAAGAAGTTGCACGAATCTATCCGGCCGAAAATAAGATAGCGTGACTAGCAGACGGTGTACCTTATCTGAAACTACTCTATGAGTATAACCAATAGGTCATAACTCATATTCCATTGTTTTTTAGACTTCTATTTTTCTGGAATGGTGCTACCCTGTGCAATCAACTCGCTGCTTATGTTCTGGATCTCGAAACTGTTTCACCGCCACCCACTTGCTTGTTTCCAAAATGTGAAGCCATATCTCCTTTTGTTGCAACATGATGAGAGTAGTGAATTGGCTGCTGCCCATCACAGTGATATCGAAGCTGATAGAAGACGACCCAGGAGACATTTGGAAATGGATAAAGTATCAGTGTCCAGGACAGTGAGTGACGGCGCTGCTACTTCTGCCGCCGCGAGATCTGGTGCTGCTGCTGATGCTGCTGTCGCGGCCGCTTCACCTGTTCTGGCAACTGCGTCTTTTGAGGCATCCTCGAGATCTTGTTTTCTCAATGCAGAGCAGCACGACCACGAGGAGAACATCAAATTGACACCAGATCACAACTTCAGTATCTGTCTTCGCCGCACCACGGAGACATCATCCACCCAATGCGTCGGCGACAAGGGAAATGAAGACAATCTACTGCGAAATAATGGTGCTGCTCGGTTTCTCAGTCCGACTAATGGCGACTATTCGTTTTCTCCGTGCCGAAGACACAGATCGGCGGACTGCAGGAGTGAGCACTCGGAGTTTCTGGGCACTAGCAATGCCAGCGGTCCTAAAATAGTCTCTTGCCGCAGCGTCAGTGTCGTTTCAAATGTGTCAGCTGCCGCGACCTATATGAATGATGCTTCAGTAATCAACTTGAGATTGAGGTCTCCATGCGATAACGCGGACTTCAGTTTAATCATTCCGGGTCACTACGACGGAATCCCGAATTGGGTGCTTCAGGTGCGCTGGTTTTCATATTCATGTAGCGCTTATCCGGAGTTAAGTGAGAATGGAAGTTGCAGCACTAAGTGTTTGATAGTTCATTTGGTTGTATAGCAAAGGTTTAAATTACGCTGACAGAACAAAAAAAAGGAATATTGTAGGCGCATTGCTGCCAAAGTAAGACGGCTTCAGAAAAAAGCGTGGGACATTCAGAGTTTGCAAAATGGGAAACCAATTTCTAGTCTTTTTGACAATATCATTTTAATCAAAAATAACGCGTTCTTCACTCCTTCGAGTAAAAAATTTGCCGCATCTTCAACCAGGAAGGGGCCGCCTAAATCGGCTAATTGGTATTTTCTGGCTTGCGGTTGCTACAAGTTTCATTAAATTCCCGGATAGATCTTGCAGAGAAAATCAGTACTGTTGCAGTACTGTTACAGTACTCGCCAGCGTCAATTTATCTCTGATCAGAGATAAATCAGCGATAAAAATCAGCACTGTTGCAGAGATAAATCAGCACTCTAACATCACTCTTACAGAGATAAACCAGCACTGTAACAGCACTGTTACAGAGATAAATCAGCACTGTAACAGCACTGTTACAGAGATAAATCAGCACTGTAACAGCACTGTTACAGAGATAAATCAGCACTGTAACAGCACTGTTACAGAGATAAATCAGCACTCTAACATCACTGTTACAGAGATAAATCAGCACTGTAACAGCACTGTTACAGAGATAAATCAGCACTGTAACAGCACTGTTACAGAGATAAATCAGCACTGTAACAGCACTGTTACAGAGATAAATCAGCACTGTAACATCACTGTTACAGAGATAAATCAGCACTGTAACAGCACTGTTACAGAGATAAATCAGCACTGTAACAGCACTGTTACAGAGATAAATCAGCACTGTAACAGCACTGTTACAGAGATAAATCAGCACTGTAACAGCACTGTTACAGAGATAAATCAGCACTGTAACAGCACTGTTACAGAGATAAATCAGCACTGTAACAGCACTGTTACAGAGATAAATCAGCACTGTAACATCACTGTTACAGAGATAAATCAGCACTGTAACATCACTGTTACAGAGATAAATCAGCACTGTAACATCACTGTTACAGAGATAAATCAGCACTCTAACATCACTGTTACAGAGATAAATCAGCACTCTAACATCACTGTTACAGAGATAAATCAGCACTCTAACATCACTGTTACAGAGATAAATCAGCACTGTAACAGCACTGTTACGGAGATAAATCAGCACTCTAACATCACTGTTACAGAGATAAATCAGCACTCTAACATCACTGTTACAGAGATAAATCAGCACTGTAACAGCACTGTTACAGAGATAAATCAGCACTGTAACAGCACTGTTACAGAGATAAATCAGCACTGTAACAGCACTGTTACAGAGATAAATCAGCACTGTAACATCACTGTTACAGAGATAAATCAGCACTGTAACAGCACTGTTACAGAGATAAATCAGCACTGTAACAGCACTGTTACAGAGATAAATCAGCACTGTAACAGCACTGTTACAGAGATAAATCAGCACTCTAACATCACTGTTACAGAGATAAATCAGCACTCTAACATCATTGTTACAGAGATAAATCAGCACTGTAACAGCACTGTTACAGAGATAAATCAGCACTGTAACAGCACTGTTACAGAGATAAATCAGCCTTCTAACATCACTGTTACAGAGATAAATCAGCACTCTAACATCACTGTTACAGAGATAAATCAGCACTCTAACATCACTGTTACAGAGATAAATCAGCACTGTAACAGCACTGTTACAGAGATAAATCAGCACTGTAACAGCACTGTTACAGAGATAAATCAGCACTGTAACATCACTGTTACAGAGATAAATCAGCACTCTAACATCACTGTTACAGAGATAAATCAGCACTCTAACATCACTGTTACAGAGATAAATCAGCACTGTAACAGCACTGTTACAGAGATAAATCAGCACTGTAACAGCACTGTTACAGAGATAAATCAGCACTGTAACAGCACTGTTACAGAGATAAATCAGCACTGTAACAGCACTGTTACAGAGATAAATCAGCACTGTAACAGCACTGTTACAGAGATAAATCAGCACTGTAACAGCACTGTTACAGAGATAAATCAGCACTGTAACATCACTGTTACAGAGATAAATCAGCACTGTAACAGCACTGTTACAGAGATAAATCAGCGCTGTAACAGCACTGTTACAGAGATAAATCAGCTCTGTAACAGCACTGTTACAGAGATAAATCAGCACTCTAACATCACTGTTACAGAGATAAATCAGCACTCTAACATCACTGTTACAGAGATAAATCAGCACTGTAACAGCACTGTTACAGAGATAAATCAGCACTGTAACAGCACTGTTACAGAGATAAATCAGCACTGTAACATCACTGTTACAGAGATAAATCAGCACTGTAACATCACTGTTACAGAGATAAATCAGCACTGTAACATCACTGTTACAGAGATAAATCAGCACTGTAACAGCACTGTTACAGAGATAAATCAGCACTGTAACAGCACTGTTACAGAGATAAATCAGCACTGTAACAGCACTGTTACAGAGATAAATCAGCACTGTAACAGCACTGTTACAGAGATAAATCAGCACCGTAACAGCACTGAAAAAATGCAAAAAAATAGCACTGAAAAAACGAAAGAAATTCTGATAAATCTCAAAAACAGCGCTAAAAAATTGCCAGGACAGCACTATAAGAATCAATTTAAAAATATTTGCCGTTTTTTTAAACCAAAAGTTACCCTTTCCCGGCTAATTTAGTTGCTCAAGCCTTCTGATTATCAAAGCTTACCCGGGTTGAAGTTGTATTGCAATTCAGAAAGGTATCATAGATCTTTCATTTTTTGCATCCATGTATCATTCATTATCGACTAGTATTTTTCCATCAAAGAAATTGTAATTCTAAAACTTCCGAAAACAACTTTTGCGTGGTTCGAAATTGTTTCACCTGTTTGTTGGTTCCTTTCTTCACTGTTACCCCTATAGGGCTGATGAATTGCTTGCCGCTTTTTTTCGCAAGGTTCATTTCACGGTTTTGATAGATAATTTGTAATTGTTTGTTCTAATTATTCCTTTAGGTGTGATAGAATTCTTCTTCCTTTTTCTTGTGCGGTCTCCAATTCACTCTTAAATTGTTTGACCACGGGATATTGTAAGCCAATTTGCGTAGTAAAGCTTAGTAATTTTCGATAAAGCAAGATACGTTTTTTGGGATCCGACTGCAATGGTTCTTCAAAGCTGAGGATCATATTTCTGTTTTTTGTTGTTGTTACATTTATACTATTTTTTATTTGATAACGATCTACTACGAAACGATGGCTTTTTTTGCCATCCACGATTAAGAATGGTGCCCTTGTAACTGTCCTTTGACCAGCCTCGATAGAAATTATAGGTCTACTTAGCTGTCTTTGTGCACATAATTTGCGGCTTGCCTTCGCTGTTCGAATCTCTATGCATTTGGGAGATCCAGACAAAGCCGTAATGAAGTACCTTGTCTTGGAGCGATAAAGTTTTCCGAGCGTCCCGAGTAGACGTTCAGAACTTTCCATGCCTCCCAAGTTCGTTTACAAAAAAACCTTACTTTGGCGTATGTATAGTTTATATTTTTTTAGTAACCGAGGCAATGAAATTTTGGCTCTTTTTCCTCCCCCCCCCCCCCCCCCCCCCCACCTCACTCAAACATGAACTTTATGGTCTAACAACTGGTTTTACAAGGTTAATTATGAAGACCAAATATGTTTGTCATGGCCTAATCAATCTGCATGTCGAAATTCACGTCAATTGGACAAAGCGAACAGTAACTTCAAATATAAAAATTTGCAGGTGGGGGGAAAGGAAAAAGAGCCGAAATTTTCATCAATTTTTCACAATTTTCACACTTAAACGTTTTTTTTTATAAAGTTTGATTTAATTTTAAACATGTTATATGAATTGATATTCATGCTTTAAGCAATGCCCATTTGAGGGACTGCATTCATAGCTGTTCATTAAAAAAAGATGTATTGAATAATTGAATTCCCAATATCTAACTTTTCGAATATTGAACGGATTTTTTTTTCATTCTTTCAATTTTATAATCTTAGAAACTGGCAAAGATTGTTATAAAACTTATCGGAGGATCGAGGGAACTGATTATTTCACCACGAAGCCAGCCGGGCGGAGTGTGTCTATTCTTTTGGCTTTGAAAATTGTTTAATCCCCCGCTGTTCTGAATTTTAAAGTAACTAAAGCAGGTGGAAGTATTATGAGTTCCTCCAGTTAAACAAAAGTTAAAATAAAAAATCAATAAAGTCCAAATGTCAGTCTAGTCTCCTGATCAAACGGAGGACAGGCGATTAAAAAAGAACTGAAGTCTAATAGCAGGTGCAGGGAAAACCAAACTAAATTGTTTCGTATGAGCCTGCCTGCATTTGTCGTTGACTCTAATTTCTTACGCTCAAACAGACGCCTAAAATTTGCTCATCTTTTTCTTTTTTCATCTTTTGAAAAGAATACAACTTAACACTCTTTTACTAAATTTCGCTTTTACTAGAGCCACTCAAAACTTAAACAAGTTTAAGTAATGCTATTTCTTAAGTTAAACTAAACAATCCGAAAAGAAACAGGAAGAGCAACCACCCGAGTGTCGGAGAAGATCTCAACGGACAGTGAGCATTAGACAGTGTACCCGGCAAGCATTGAACAACAAGTTCTACCCATCTTCTCTCTGCTACTTTCCAACAAATATAGTAAGAAATAAAAGCAATAAAATAAATATCCCCTCCTATTGTTAAAAGTTAGCAAAAGATGAACATTTGTGCATAACATTTAACCCTTTTTAATTAATCTTCCCCTTTTAATTTACCTGTTTTTATAAACATCATTCAACTCTAGGGCCAGATTGACTATGATCGATGATATAATTCAACCGAGCCTTGTAATGTTAGCTACTAATTGAAACAAAGTG